ATGGCCTTCAAGCAGAGCGCGGGCGGGTACCTCACGGTCAAGGACAACCAGGTCGTGCACATGCACCCGAGCTGCGTCCTCGACGACAAGCCCGAGTGGGTCCTCTACAACGAGTTTGTGCTCACGTCCAAGAACTACATCCGCCTCAACACGCGCGTCAAGGGCGAGTGGCTCGTCGAGCTCGCGCCGCATTATTATGACCTCGAAAACTTCCCTGAGTGCGAAGCCAAGCGCGAACTGGAAGCTCTTTACCGCCGACTCCAGGCCAAGCTCAAGAAGTAAATCTAGACAACGACACGAGCGGAGCTACTAACATAAATTGGATTGTATTTCGAAAACCTAGTCCTACCCTTGTCACCAGCGAGGAGCAAGCACGAACTCGTCTGTAAGGGTCGGTATCGTTACCGATGTTAGATGTCTACTTCAAAGCAACGCGGAAGGAACGTGGTCGCTGCTACACGCCAACTGGAGTAGAGCTGGAGCCGCCGTTGGCCATCGCCGCCTGGTTGAAGGCGCGCATTTGGGCGTTGATGGCGTAGATTTCAGCGCGGCGACGCTGCTTTTGAGCGAGCGCGTGGTCGCGCTGGGCCTGTGCAAGTCGCTCGCGCTGGACGCGCGACTGCTCGGCCGCCTCTTTCTCTGTCTTTTCCGCCTGCTTGTACGTCACGATGCGCTCGAGGGACTTGATGCGCGCTTTGGACGGCGACACCTTGCTCGGCGACGGCACCTTGGTCACCACGGATGGCGCCACGTCGTGGGTTTGGTTGAGAGGGACGTCGCGCTGGACGTACGCCGACTGGACTCGCCGCTTCACGGTCACCTCCTGCGGAGTGGTTGGCCGACTGAAATGCTACACCCACACGCGCACCTTGGGTGTGCCAACGACGCGCGGGGTCACTTGTGGCAGGCGCGTCTGCGAGCCCTACGTACATGGTTGGCGGGGTCGAGAGCACGCAACCTACGTTGACCATCTTCTCGGACGGCGTCCGGCGCAATTGAAGCGGTGGCAGCGGGCTTGTCTCGATCGCGCCGAGGAGGGGCGGGTCTGCAGATGTAGGAGCTAGCAGCCGCAGAGATGAGCCCGAGCGCTACGCCATCTCGGTGGATGGACCTCCATCGATGGGCACGGCCGTCCCCACGGTCATCGCGGGACCTGTTGCAACCCCAAGTGGGATCGCTTTATTTTTGGCACGTCAAAAACAGGGATCGTTGAACCTGCTACAACAGCGTTAAACACGTTTTTACGTTTTACACGTTCTGGGCTGGGTGCCTGAAGCTGTCATCATTGCGTACACCTTGCCGCCTGCACGATACCATCCTCACAACCAACTTCACTCCACAAGGAGATGGAATGGCGGGGCTTCCTTTTGTAGCTCTGCAGTCCGTCTGGTGTTAAGAGCGGACGAGGGCAAAACTGGACTAATTGTAGTTAAACGTATCAGTTCAACCCTTTTTTGACACAACGCCATGCACGTCAAACACGCAGCGAGAGAGATAGGCCATGGAGGACCCTAAGCCTTTGACGACGGCGACGACGACGTGTCGCGCGTGCGTTCCTTGGCGTCGGCCGCGAGCTGGTCCCAGTCGAGGCGCGTGAGCCAGAAGAGGCCACCAGCAGCGACGCTCGTGACGCCGAGAAGCACGCCGAGCCAGAGCCCGGCAATGTCGCTCTGGTGGTAGAAGGCCAGGGCCGCGCCGAGCGGGATGCCGACGACGGCGTACGCGGCAAACGACATCTTGGCGCCGACGCTCTGGAGGCCGCAGCCCTGCAAGATCGCGAGGAGGGTCGTGAAGAGCGCGGTCGCGACCTGGAACGGCGCCGCCGTCAGAATCAGCCCCGACGCCAAGTGGCGCACGGTCGGGTCCTTCATGTACACGGCGAGGTAGAGGTCTTTGAAGATGCCCATGATGCAGCCAGCGAAAAGGCCGTAGGCCGCGGCGAGGCAAAGCACGAGGCGGGCGACGGTCTTGGCGCGCGGCGCGTCGTTCGCACCGAGAGCGTTCCCGACACGAATGCAGCCCGCGACCGCAAGCCCTTGCACGACGAGGCCAAAGCAGGCGACGAGGAGGTCGTAGCCAGCGCTGGCGCTGATGGCCGCGGCGCCGTCCGGGAGACGCCCGGCCAGGATCGTGATCGTGTACTTGGCGTACGCCATGCACATGGTGACAACGACGCCGGCGGCGCCGAGCGAGGCGAAGCTCGGGACAAGGCGCCACGCGGCGGGCAGGTCCCAGCCCTTCCAGTCTTGCGCAAAGAGGCCGGAATAGACAATGTAGCCAAAGAGAGCCGAGCACTTGAGCACTTCGGTGATGGCGCCGGCCGCGACGACGCCGACGATGCCGAGGGGCGTGTGGTACATGAGAACGTAGGCGGTCGAGATCATGCAGGCTTGGCCCGCGAGGTCGACAAAGACGAGCGGAAGGACTCGGTTCTGGCCCTGGATCCAATTCGCCTGGAGCACATAGAGCGCGTAGAAGGGAAGCGCGGGGATATTGAACCACATCATGCGCCCCGCGATCGCGGCCACGGACTCGACCTGCCCGAGAAAGACGAAAATGTGGCTGCACGAGAGCAGCAAGGCGACGAGCGGGAGGTACGCAATCGCGAGCACGAGGATGCCAGCTTGGAAGTAGAGCCCGATCTCCCATGGCTTGTTGGCGCCATGGGCCTGCGACGACATGGTCGACATGGCCGTCGAAATACCCGTCACGACCGAGCGCGCAGTGAGGCGATAGAAGAGCCCGCAGAGCGCCGAGGCTGCCATGAGCTCTTTGGACATGCCATGGTTCAAGTGCGAAATGAGCATCACGATGAGCACCTGCGGCGTCACGTCCACGATCTGCTGGAGCATCTACGACGCATGCACCATGAGGTTCTCGCTCAAGCTTGGTTGCGGAGCGTACGAGCGGAAGGCCGAGGCGGATCACATGCTTGATCTCGTCGCGCTGGACGCTCGTAGCATCGGCGGGCACGAGCGGCGTCGCTTCGTCCGGCGGTGGCACGGTCAGTGACACGGCAGACATCGGGCCTCTTGGAGCCAAAGGCCGAGTTATCCGGACAAGGTATGGATTGTCACCTACCGTTTTTTTCCAGACATTTTATCTTGTCTTGCACATTGTATGCGTTGTCTTGCTGTGGAAAATAACACTGATATTGTGCACACCATTTTAAAAGTATCAGAATAGTGTAAATGGGTGATCGCACGCAGGTCGTCGTCTCCTTTCATGGTATGGTGAGCGAAAGGGCAATTGCAGTAGTCTGCGCTCATCAATCGAGCTTGCTCAATGCATCGCATCAGTTGCAGAAGAAGCCGCTCGTGGTGCTTGGACGTGCCCACGTGCTTCACACTATTTCGCGTCTGTCAATGTCGCCGGTAGCATCCGGAGGCTGCCCAGAGGAAGGTGCACAAATGATTGCTAAAGCGGCTCTTCCTTCAAGTGGGCAAGCGAACGGGATCGCCACGATGCTGCTTTGTCGGTGGATAGCGCCTGCGCTGGTCCTTGCGGCCTCTGCCCTCGGCGCCGACGTCAATGACACGAGCCTCAACGCGACGCAGGTCGTCTCGCCCGCGGCTGCCTGCCCGCTCCTCCTCTGCGATCCGATCGCATCGTCGCCAGCAGCGTGCGTCGTCGCAGCGCCCATCACGTTCGAGTGCTACGACGCGCCGCTGCTGTGCAACTGGGAGTCGCCGCGCGACGTGGTGCTGAACGCGGCCATCTCGATGACGTCCAACAGCACGACGTGCGACGTCGAGGTCGTCTGGCGCATCGCTGGGAGCGCCCACTTTACCGAGAACGCGTCGATCGCGGTCACGACGCTCAATCTCTTTGCAGACGACTTTCACATGTCTAGCGATGGCATCCTCTTCGCCGAGCACAAGATGACCATATCGGTCGAGAAACAGCTGCGCATCGACCAAGACGCGTCGCTTGTCGCTGGTGGCGAAGAACCTGGTACGTGCTTCTCCTCCTACCTCTTTCCTGAAGCGTATTGCGCGTAGGCAAGTCGGGCGGGCACGTCAACATGTCGGCGTCGTCGCTCATCTTGCACGGATCCATCAAGGCGTCGGGCGGTGACGGGCAGTGCGTCGACGGCGTTTGCTTGGCCGGTGGTTCTGGTGGCCAGGTCACGCTCATTTACAACTCCATCGCGGAGGAAATTGGCCACATTTACGTCTCGGGCGGCGCGAATCCCCTCACGCTCTCGTCGCAAGTCGCGTCGTACAGCGGCAGCCGCGACGACCTCGACGACTCGATCGTGCTGCCCGTGTGCCTCACGGGCGCGGCCGGGCGCCTCTTGCGCATCCACACGTCGACCAACGGCACGCGTGACGGCGTCCTCCTCATCTCGAACGCGTTCAACTCGATGGACTACTTTGGCGACCTCTTGCCGCTGAGCAAGGTGCGCTGCGCGGTGACGCCACTGACTCTAGCCGAGATTGACCCGAGTGTCAAGTCGGTGACGCTCGAGGCCGAGGCGCTCGTGCACTTCGAAGACAGCGCGTCGTGGGGGCTGCACGGCGACTCGGAGCTCATCCTCGAAGACGCGACGCTGGTCGTCAAGTCGAACGCGATCCTCTCGGTGCTCGTCAAGCAGCTCGTGGTCCGGGGCACGTCGACGTTTGTGGCGCCGCACGGCTTGCACGTTTCGGCGGCGATCGTGTCGATCGACTTTGGCGCCCAAATGCACCTCGGGTACTCTGCCACGTCGACGATCCTCGCCTCGGACGGCATCCACATTGACGGCAACATTACGAGCAACGTGGCGGCGGCCGTGTGGACCAACACGGACCCGACGGGGCAGCTCATTCTCGAGAGCAAGCGAGACCTCGTCATCTCGGGGTACGTGTCGATGCCGACGGTGTACGCGGCGGCCGACGCGGCGCTCATCGTGTCGGGCGAGCTCGAGTCGCGCAAGCGCATGAACAAGACGGACCCCGTCGAGTATCAGCTCTGCTCGAGCATGCACTCGGCGGCCAGCATTTTGAGCAACTATACGATCTCACTCTTTAGCGGCGGTCCGATTGTCCTCGGCGCAGAAGCCAAGCCTGGCGCACTCACTGGCGCCGCCTTGCTTCTCTGCACCGACCACGCCGTCACGGTCGGCTCCAACTTTCGCTTGTCGTCGAGCGGATTTGGGTACCCGGCCAACCACGGGTACGGCCACGGCGACTGCTCCCACGCGCTCGGGTCGGGCGGTGGCTACGGCGGCAACGGAGCCGACTCGTTTGTGACGCGGCGCCGGCAGTCGAAGCCAATTTCCATGGCCATCGGCGGCCTTTCGTACGGCACCCGCCCGAGCACGGGTCTTCTAGGGTCGGGCGGCGGCTGCGACGGCGGCGGTGCGGGTGGTGGTGTCATTGTCCTCGGCGCCCACCATCTCAACTTGAACGGCACGATTGCCGCCGACGGTATGAGCGGCAACAACGGTGCCGGTGGCGGCTCGGGGGGCTTTGTCAGTCTTGTCGTACCCAACGGACTCAGCGGACACGGGTCGCTGTCCGCCTCGGGCGGTAACGCGTCCTGCGCAGACGAGCGCTTGACGGTCAACACGTCGCAGACGCTCTGCGGCGGTGGCGGCGGCGGCGGCCGACTGCGTCTCCAAGGCTGCACCGACTTTACAGAGTGCGCCAACGAGTTTTCTGGCGAGTACCACGTGCAGGGCGGTAGCAGCGACACGAAGCTACCGGCACCGATCGGGAGCATTGGGACGTACTTTGGTTTTCCGTGTCCACCGGGGTACGGCGGCCTCCTGTGCCGCGCCTGCCCTATCGGAACGTTCAAGGAAGAACGTGGCAGCGACGAGTGCATCCCGTGCCGCAACGCGCCGCCCGACTCGCATTACACCCTGACGGGTGCGCTTTTACACGTACATGTATCGAGGTATCCATCCCATCGAGATAGGCGAAACCTCGACCGAGTGCACGTGGTCGTGCGACCCGGGGTACACGGGGTTGCACTGCCTCTCGCCCCTCGAAGACTTTTTCGAGATGTTTGGCGGTAAGCTCGTCGTCGGCGTCATTGCGCTTCTGCTCCTCTTGATCATCGTCGCCGTCGGCTACATCTTCAAGCGGGACCCGTACGTCAAGTACCGCACCGGTGGCGAGACGGACCATCTGCTCGTGATTCCGCCGGCCAAGCGTCCGTGGTACTCGCTGCGCTGCTGCCGCATCGGCCACTGGATCTGGCCGCGCGTCGGGTACCCCAAGCTCCAGGAGCGCGACTTGAAGGACCACATTGCGCGACTGTACTTTTCGGGCAACAACACGCAGGAGGCGCCGCTGCTGCTGCGGACGACCGTCCCGTCGATGCTGGAACCGGTGCTCAATAAGGAGGCGTTTGCGGCGCTCGCCGTGCAGATCAACAAGACGCTGGCCTTCTCCACGAGCGGCAGCATCCTCTACACGCTCGTGCGCTGGCTCTGCTACCCGTTCGCGTCCGACGTCCTTCTCTACCGCCGGCACAAAAAGTTCAATGCGCTCAAGCGGCTCTTGGCCAAGTACGACCACGCGTGCATGCAGGGTCCTCGGGCCCGCGCGCTCCTCAACGCGGTCAAGGTCGGCTACAGCCACGACTACTCGCTCGCGTACCTCGAGCTCCTCCACAAGGAGTACAGCAGCTCGTCGTGCGTGCCCAAGTCGGGGTGGCTCGTCGGGAAGCCCCGTCTGCCACTCGTGCTGCTCTTTGCCGGCCTCGGCAGCTACGAGTCGCCGCTGTGCTTGGACCCGAACGACCTCCTCGTGCGGTCGCTGCCGCAAGCGCCAGAGCTCGACGCGTTCATCGACGACCAGTGGATCGAAGTTGTCGCCGAACTCAACGCGCTGTTGCGGATCGTCGACACGAGCGACGACGCCGAGTGCGCTCTGCGTCTCCAGGCCGTCGCCGACTTTTGCCACGACCAAGGTGCGGTCGATGATGAGGCAACGGCTCAGAGCTGAACGCGTGGTTTTAGGCATCAAGCGGTCCCTCGGGGGTCTCCAGATGGCCCTTGGCCGGTTCTACCCCCACGGCGACGCCAAGCTCGGCTTCCAATGGGGTCTCTTTCTGACTACGACCAAGTACGAAGCCGCCAAGTATGCGTCGGCCAACGACCAGGTACGTACATATCACGCAAGGGAAAAGGGATGCGAGATGGGAACCTAGATGAAGACGCAGCAGGCGCGGCGGCACGACTACTCGGCGCTGCCGTACCCCCATGACGACCGCAACAGCAGTGGGAAGCGCAAGTCGGCGCACCAATAGCAGCATTCGCGAAGCGGCGCTCTCAAGTCCACGGACGCTGGCGCAGGCCGCTGCGTTGACGGCGCCAACCACTCTGTATGGCAACACGAGCAGTGGTACCAACTCGACGAGCTCCACCATGCCGCTTGGCAGCAGTAGCGCTGGTGGCAGTCCCGCAGTGCGCGTCGCCGATTACGTCGGCGCAATCGACGAGTCGCTCCCGATCCCAGGAGTCATAATGAGCAGCGCCGACTTTCAGCAGCACGCGATGCACGTCATGGAGAAGGAGACGACGTCGCTCCGGCACCGGCTCTGGGCGCGCGTCAAGCCCGCGAACGTGGCCAAGCCGCCCGACACGTCGTTCCACGGCTGGGGCGTGTTTGTCTCACTCATTGTGCTCGTCGTCGCGGACCTCGTCACGACGATGGGCATGCTCGTGAACCTCAAGTGCGTCGAGAACGGAACCGAGGTCCCAGCGTGCACGAAATCGGTGGTCTATCCCGTCTTGCTGGTCTACCCGCTCGCGATTCTGATTGCGCCCGTGACTGGCATCATCTCGCTGGCCATGGGGTCGGCGCCCTTTGCGCGCAAGTACGCGCTCTGGAACTCGTGCTCGCTCCTCAACGTGCTCGTGGCCATCGTCATCTGCTATGTCAAATCCGACAAGCTCGTGGCGCTGTACGTGACGCGCCCGCTGCCGCTTCTGCCCGTGACGCTGCTGCTGCTCAAGGCCGGCGAGGCGATCGTGGTCAACATTTACATTGCCGACATGGAGTCGAACCGGCGTCGGCGCGGGTGGCGCGGCCTCATGAAGCGGCGCGACTCGGACACGTCGTCGCCGCCGGATTCGCCCTAGTAAGCTGTCTCTTGAAGTGTGGGTTCACTGACTCGTTTTGTAGCAACTCGCCGGTGCAGAACCGACCGGATGCGCTCTTGTTCATGCCGACGTTCAAGGAGCCGAGTAGCGACGCCAAGGCACGGTATGGGTCGACACACCACCATTTCGGTAGCATTTAGCTTGTCGCCTGTTAAGCAATGCACAATATGCAACTCGAAAGACGGAAGGCAGCTCAACCGTAGTCCTAAGGCATGCTTTTGTTTTCGAACTTGCAGCTCGGTTGGACGTATAGAGATAATACCTTGCGATGCAGATCCACACAAGAAAAAGTAGTTTGCGGCGGTAGTTTGTCATTTGGTGCGTCCGTAATGATGCAGTCATAGGCTCTCGGAGAGGGTGAATTGGGATGCCAAAGCAGAACGAGGTAGATGGACCGCGGGTGTGTGGGATTATAAATAACAGAAGCCACGACGACGTATAGAGGACGGCGAGTTCGACAACTTGTGTTGCACTGCGTCCTATACCTCGTGGAACGGCGCCGTGTTGGTATCCCAGATGCTCGGATATGCGGCGCAGGAGCGAAGACTTGCAAGCACCGAGTAGAGTTCGTCGTCGGGGCGCGCGGGCACGACGTTCGGGCAGCTCGCAGGGATCGAAAAGTAGTCGCGGGCGAGCTTGGCGAGGCGCGGAAAGCTCGACTGGTTAGCCTTCCACCACGCGATCGGATCCGAGGCCGCGTCAAAAGGCAGCGGCGGAAACTCCCAATACACGTCGATTTCGTGCTGCACCTTGGTCTTGTCGACACTCGCGAGGCCGAAGAAAGACGCCATCGCCTTGGCCAATTGGCCGCCGCCGGCTGTTTCGTCCTTGAGGTTGACCTCCATCGACGACGGGCTGGGTGGCAGCGGCTCGGTCGAGACGTCGACGACGGCTTCGCACGCCGCCTGGAGCGCATCGCGCGCTTGGAGCTTCACACTGGGCGTCAAGAATGGCATTTGCTTGAAGCGTGGGTCCAGCATCGCGCAGGAAATGCCGAGTTCGTGCGGCGACGGGTCGCGCATGAGCGCAAACGCAATCGCAGAGACGAGCGCCGCCTGCACCTTGGAGACGATGGCGCCGGCGACGGTGCATTTTTGCACGAGCCCGCGGAGGTTCTCGAGCACGGGCACGACGACGCCGTACGTGGCCTCTGGCGACAGCATCGACTCGGCCGTCTCGAACGGCAAAAGGAGTGCGACGAGGCCGTCGAGCTGGCTCTTGTCGGCCGCAAGGAGGTCGAGGACGGCGCCGTCTGTCTGCGCAGCCACGAGCTTGAGCATCTCGAGCGTTTGGCGCCACGGCGAGAGCAGAAGGACTTCTCGCGCGCCGAGGATCGCGGCGGCGGCGGCCGCCTTGTCGAGGAGCGCAGTGGCGTGCGAGAGACCCGAAGCGACGATGGTTGCAAGCAGGTGCGAGAGCGACGGCAGCACGATCGCGCTACCCATGGGCAGAAGGCTCGTGAGGAGCCCGACGAGGCGCTCGGAAGACGCGAGGAACACTTGGACGCGGCCCTGGACGGCGGGAACAACGCTGTAAAGGCGAGAGAGGAGCGCCATGAGCTGCGAGACGTGGAGGCCGCACGGAAAGGTCTCAACGAGCAGTAGCACGCGAAAGGTAGCGAAGTTCTTGTCGACCCAGTGCAGCGTCGTCGCGACCGAGACAACGCCGTTCTCGCCTCGCTCCTCGAGCGACAGCGTCAGATGCAAGGCGTCGGACGCGATGAGGCGCCCGATGGAGTCGCAGCACACCTTGTATTGATCCTCCAGCAGTTGGATCGCATGCTGCTTGGTGAGACCGTGGGGCACGACGGCTTGAAAGAGCGGCGATTGCAACAGTCGCAGCGGCAGCGCTTCGTGCAGCAAGAGGAGAAGAAGGCTCCACGAGGCCGGTTTCTTGGTCGACTGTCGAGACGACGCCTTTACGAGGCGGCGCGTGACGCCCTGGAAGAGCGCATCGGACGTTGGCGTGATGCTGCGCTGGGGCGTCGACGCTTGCGACTGCGGTGGCGACGGTGCCGAGCTTAACGGTGTGTTGGGCTGCGTCGATGCGGACGTGAGCGCATCTTCCGAGATCTGGTGCTTCCGGTTGAGGTGCAAGCTCATGTTGCTCGTGCCACCCGAGTACTTGTAGCGTCCTTGGTGGCCGTCGGCTTCGCAGTGGTTGCACTGGACGTAGCCGAGGCCATCGAGCGCGTCCGTGTGCGTGAGCGTGAAGTGCTCCCAGACCCAGCTGCGGCTCTTGCGCTTCTTGCGGCTCTCCGCCGGGACCATGGGCGGCGTCGTGTCGATGGGCCGAGGAAGGTTCATGCTGCTCCTCAGTGTTTGGTTGGGAAGCCCTGGCTTTCGACGAGGTTTCGACGAGGAGCCAATCAGGAGCCCCGACGCCGCCATCGTATTGCTGGTGCCATCGATCTGATTGGCTAAAATCCGATGAATTACACACCCTTATTGGACGACATAGCCGCCGACGTCCACGAAAGACGCGTCGTTTTCTCTGCGAGCGACTGCAGGCAGCGGGACCCACGACTTAAACTTCCTCATGTGTTTACACAGGTCGCTAGAAGCAGCGACGCAGTTGTCGCGAACCAAAATGCAAGAAAAAGTGGCGCCGTACATTGAATCGCCAACTACTTGGTTCATCATCAAACAGTTTTGCGCAGTGACGAGTCGATCGAGCTGTTATAATCGTTCTAGCGTACAATGCGATATCATATTGATCGCAATTCCTCGACCCCAAGCCTTTGCTGGTCCCTCGTCGTGGGTAAAGCGGAAGTGCTCTACATAATATAGTACAGTACCTCCATACCCCGAGCCCCCGCCCGAGCCCTAACCGTGGCGCCCGACTCGATCACAAACGTCGCATCGGCGGCTTCAGCACTGACCAACCGTAGCGCCGAAATGCGAACTATCAATTGCCGGTGAGCTTTATTGGTGGCAGGGCTTGGAGAACGGTTGCTTTCTTTCGGGTTTTGCGTGGCGCACTGCCACTTGGCCATGCGATGGTTCGTGTTGCACAGCACCGGGCTGACAGCGTGACGAAAGATGGGCAATGGCGTCCTTATGGGCCTCCCAGATATGAGTTGTCAGGCTCGACGCGGTGGCCTGCAAGAGGTCGCTGGTACATTGCAAGTGCGACCGCAGCAGATTCCGTAAGGGAGTCTGCGCGCATTGCGGTTGGAGGTGCGAAACGAATGTTATCCGGTCAAAACCATATCTTTATCCGGACACGCGCAGCCTCAGGAGCATCCGTGACAAGAGCTGATGGCCTTACTATGTCACGTGAAGAGCTACTAGGCTGGAATTCCTACCGCGTGACATGGGATCGATCGTCAACGTTGTGCTCGTGGGTCGTTCAGTCCATTTGTGAGGACAACTGCAGTAGCTGTAGTTGTGCATGAGAGTCAATCCAGTGGCGACACAGATGCGGCTGCAACCGAGCGCTTGGGCGAATTCGGATCACTTTGTTCGTTCTCAACCTGTAGGACGCATCCTCGTAAGCTCGCAAAAAGGAGCTCCGCCTTGCACGTTGCAGGATGCGATGAGGCACATCAACCACTCTGGTGACCGAGCGACGCAGTCATGTATTGCTCGAGGCGACTGCAAGCATCAGTTAATGGGCGTTAATGATGGTCGTCGCCGAGGAAGAATCGCCTCTGTACATCGTCGACCCTCTGCCGACAAAGGTGACGACGCCGCCCATGCGTATGAGCGAAAGATGCATGAAGACGTCCCAAGGCACCGGGTTGATGCTAATGTCATGGGACGTGCAAGCGCCAGGATGATGGTGCGGCGTCTGGGACAAGGCGTCATCCACGCCTTGCGCTTGTCGCGGCCACCGCATCGCAGTACGCGGGTCGTCTTTCTTTGGGATGTAGCAGCACGATCGGCTGCGCAGACCTTCGCGGCTGGCCCATGCCATGGAGCGTCCAGCGGACGCGTCGCAGCATGGACTTGGCCATGGGGCAACCACGCAAAATCCGGATAAGAGTATCCGGCGGCGACTTTTTCTTGGGGTTGCCCACAACCGAGCCAACGACCAAGGACGAAGATGGGGATCCCGCGCTTCTTCCGCTGGGTGAGCGAGCGCTACCCGCAGATCAACCAGCGCATCAGCGACGTCTCGCTGCTGCCCGAGTTCGACAACCTGTACCTCGACCTCAATGGCATCATCCACCAGTGCACGCACCCGAACGACCAAGAGGTCTGCGAAGAGCTCGGCGACCCGCAGCAGATCCCGGCCATCTTTGCCTACATCGACCGCATCGTGAGCCAAATCGTCAAGCCCAAGAAGCTGCTCTTCCTCGCCGTCGATGGCGTCGCGCCTCGCGCGAAGCTCAACCAGCAGCGCTCGCGTCGCTTCCGCGCCGGCATGGAGCTCCACGAGAAGAACTTGTCGCTCCAGCGCGACGGCGACGACGACGAAACCGGGCCGCCGGCTGTGCTGTTTGACTCAAACTGCATCACGCCCGGCACCGAGTTCATGTACCGCCTTTCACTGCATCTCCAGTACTTCATCCGAAAGAAGCTCAAGGAAGACCCGGCATGGCGCAACCTTACGGTGCTCTTCTCCGGGCAGGAAGTCCCTGGTGAGGGCGAGCACAAGATTGTCGAGTACATTCGCCGCACCAAGATGCAGCCCGGGTACGTTGTAGGTACTTTGCTCATGGATTAAAACAACTTCACGACTAGGTACCCGCCGAACGTTCGCCATTGCATGTACGGCTCGGACGCCGATCTCATGCTCCTTGGCATCATGACGCACGAGCCTCACTTTACGCTGCTCCGCGAAGTCGTCGACTTTTCCGGCGGTCGCCGGTCGCCCAAGGACGAAAACACCAAGAAGATCGTTGCCCGGCAGACCAAGGAGCTCGAGTGGCAGCTTGTGCACCTCTCGGTCTTTCGCGAGTACCTCGACATTGAGCTGCGCGCCGACGTACGTTGCGCTGCCGTCTTCTCTGCTTAGAATCCTTTGGTAGGTGCCGTGGTACGACACGGAGCGGGCGCTGGACGACTTTATCTTTTTGACGTTTCTGCTCGGAAACGATTTCATTCCGCACAGCCCGACGCTCGACATTTCGGAAGATGCGATTGCGCTTCTTCTGGAGCTGTACCGGTCCAAGCTGCCGACGTGGGGCGATTACCTCACGAACGGCGGCGCCTTGACGCATCCGTCGCACCTCGAAGATCTCTGCCGCACGATCGGCGCCATGGAAGAGGACATCCTCACGCACCGCGCCGACGAAGACCGCAAGCGCCAGCAGCGCAGCCGGTATGGCCGCGCGCCTGTCGAGAAACCGATTGTTGTCGACACGGACGAGCTGGACGAAGAAGACGCGTTCGCGGCCGAGCTCTTGGCGGCGATCGAAGGGCCGCCGACAGACGTGCACGCGGAGATGGCGGTGCTGTCGGGGTCGCCCGAGTTTCAAGCCACCAAGTGGGCCTACTACAAGAGCAAGTTTGGTGTCGCCGACAACCGCCCGGACTTGCTCCGCCACGTGAAAGTCGCGTACGTCGAGGCGCTCGTGTGGTGCCTCGGCTACTACTTCCAGGGCGTCCCGTCCTGGTCGTGGTTTTACCCGTTCCACTACTCACCCATGCTCTCGGACCTCACGGACATTGCCGACATTGTGTCGGAGCTCTACTTGGAGAAAGGCACGCCGTTTCTGCCGTTCCAGCAGCTCCTCTCGACGCTGCCGCCGACGAGCGCAACGCTCGTGCCGGCGCCGTACCAGCAGCTCATGACGGACCCTGCGTCGCCGATCGCGCACTTTTACCCGATGAAGTTTGAGATCGACATGGACGGGAAGCGCAATCCGTGGGAAGGCGTGAACGTGCTTCCGTTCATTGACGCAACGGCGCTGCTCGAGGCCATTGAGATGTATTGCCCAAACGACCGCCTTACGGACGCCGAGCGCGCGCGCAACACGCCAGGCGTCGCGTACCGCTTCACGTTCGACGAAGGCAACTCGGAGACGCTGCCGTCGACGCTGCCGTCCGTCTTCCCGGACGTCCCGCTCTGCCACTCGAAGCGCGAAGTGTACACGCTCCCGCCGCTCATCAACTTTGACTCGTCGCTCGTCGACGGCGTCACGATGCCCATTGCGGGCTTTCCGTCGTTGCACTCGCTGCCACTCGAGGCGTCGTACCTCGCGGCCATCGGCGTCAACTGCTTTGGTATGAGCTCCAAGAAGAGGACGATGGTGCTCCAGATTGCCGACGCCAACGAGCCGACGCTCGAGCAGGCCCAGGCGCTCTTGGGAACGACGGTACGACTCGAATGCCGTAGCAGGTGAATCATTTCTTGTCTTAGGTGCATGTCAACTACCCCAACATGCACGAGGCGCTCGTTGTCGCCGTGAGCTCGGTAGACGGCATCGTCCGGCGCAACGGCGACGACGGTTCCGTGGACATGCGCAGCTTTACCGACGCCGAGGTGCGGACGTTTACGAAATCGGCGTCGATCGAAGCGCAACGGTACCTCAACGGCCGCGCGATCCCCGGCACGGGCGGTGTGCGCATCGGAACCATCCGTGCGTTCTTGCACGTGCGCCCGCTCCAGGGCATGGTCACGGACCGTGTCTCTGGTGCGACGACCAAGCTCTTTGGCGACGATGAAGTCCAGATCCCGTTCCAGTTGGCCACGACGTCGCTGCCGACCGTCGACGCGCGGTTTGTTGAAACACCGGCGCTCTCGCACGTCGAGCGATTCCCGCTGCAAACGCCGGTGCTCCTGCTGGCCGACGGCGCCCGCGGTGTCGTCGTGGGGCATCAAGACGACGGCACGGTCGACGTGAACGTAGAGACCTTGACGCCCGAGCCGCCGTTTGGGTATGCGATCGCCGAGGCCATCGCCGACAAGTTTTTCCCGAGCCATGTCGTGAGTCAGCGCCTCGGCATTACGCCGTCGACGCTCGGGCGCGTCACGGGCTCGCTGCTCGTCAACCCCGGCCGGTATGATATTGGCTTGAACATCAAGTACAAGAAGGAGCTCATGCTGCCGGGCTACTGCCGCTACGAGCCCAAGGCCCGCGACGACCGTCCAGTGTGGGGCTCGGGCGACTCGGTGGCCATCGTCGGCAGCGACGCGGTCTCTGCGTCCGCGGTCGTCGAAGGTGCGTGGGAGTACAGCGACAAGGCGTTCCACCTCCTCCTCGCGTTCCAGCGCAAGTTTCCCCGCGTGTTTGCCGCCGTCGAGAGCCTTCCGTACGCCGCCACGTACGACGGCGCGACGTTTTTGAACGTGGCGCCAGCGCTGGTCAAGCCACAACTGGAGGCCATTCGGACGTACCTCGGCCAGTTGGACATTGCGACGATGCCGCTCGTGCCCGTGACGTCGACGACGCTCTCGGCGGCTGCGGTTCGTGCGATCGAAAAGGCCGGTGAAATCCGCGCGACGCAGTCGGCGGCGACCTCCAAGACGACGGTGAACGTGCCCACGTCGGCCATCTTCCGCCCGGTGGGCTCCAACTACGATCTCTCGGCCTCGCTTGTGGGCGCTGGCGTGACGCCCGTGCTTGGCGACCGCGTCGTGAACCTCGCCGCCCGCAGTGTGCCGTTTGGCCTCAAAGGCACGGTCGTCGCGACGCACGCTGTGAGCGGCTGCGTCGAAGTCGTTTTTGACACGACGTTTAGCGGCGGATCCAGCCTCCATGGGCTCTGTGCGCCGCACCGTGGCAAGCTCGTGCCGTGGTCGGCCATGCTCCGCATCTCGACGAAGCCGGGCTCGCCGCCGACCGCGCTTCCGAGTCCGAAGCCCAGAGCCAAGCCGGTGCCGAAAGCCAGGGTCAGCCCAACGGCGACGACGGGTGCCGCGCCGACGGACAAGCTCAGTCCGCCGACCAAGGCCAAGGCCAAGCCCCAAAAGACGCCCAAGGCTCAGGAGAAGGGTGTGCCGCAGCTGGCTAAGCAGCCGCCGGCCCCGCCGTCCACAGACAAGATGTCGCAGCTTATCCACAAGTGGGCGGCCGAGGAGGAGCAGAAGAAGAGCACTATGAACCGCGACTTGACGGCAGCGCCCGCGTCGTCGATGGCGCACTACTTCCAGCAGCTTCAGCAGGCCCGCCCCGAGCCGACGCCCAAGCCCACGCTCTTGCAGCCGACGGCTGCGCCGTTCCAGCCGCCGTTGCCGCCACAGCCGCCGCTTCCGCCGTCGCCTGCGTACCAGCAGCCGCCCGCGTATGTGGCTCCACCGCCGCAACCAGCGTACGCGCCGCCGCGCACCCCCGCCGTCGTGACGTCTGCGTCGGGTTTGCTCTTGCCCGCGCAAGTGCTTCGCTCCAAGTTTAACCAGCCGGCGGCGAAAGAGTAAAGCACTCCGCCGAGTTTGAATTCGTAAAGACAAGAAGTGGTTGTGGGACGATCGATATTCTGTATGCATGAGTTTTACGGAGAGACTAGCGATTGATCGCCGAGAAGAAAGTCTTGGACGGTAGACGCTGCGGCGGGGCCACGAGACTCTGGCGCATGGAGCTACGGGGCACGACAATGTGACTGGGTCGCGGCAGGCGCATCGACGTTCGCGTCTAGGTAGCTTCGTGGTATCTCACGTCGCGTTCAGGGACCACACACCTCGTGGGACGACTGACGGAGCGTCTCGGCCGTTGGGTTTTGCAAGAACCGAGCGATCGACGCGCGCTTCGTCGTGACGGCTGGCTCGGCCAGTCTCGGCGGCAACGCGCTTGGAGACACGGGCGGTACGGGCGCCGGTGGTGGCGCAGGAGACTCTTGAGGGCGAACAAACCTACAGTGTGCTTAGCAGCCACGCGCGATGTGACGAATGCAACTGTGGAGGCGCGTGCAGCAGAGCCGTGTACGTCTGATGCGCTGCGAACGTCATCCAAACCACCGAGAGACTCGACGACCACGCGCAGTGCACCTACGTCAACGCTGTTGCATCGACCGAGAAAAGGGTTCCGCACCTGCGTCGGCGCGTCGGCTGCCGGCGTCTGTAAAAACTTGGTTGGTGTCAGTCGCTTGTCCGTCGCGCCAAGAACGACCGCGTCGGCGGCCACGGACTCGCTCGGCACCATGGCCACGGACCCGAGGTCGCCCCAGATGTACACCACCGACGTGGGCAACGCTGCTTTCGCCGACACGACGGCGACAGAGCCGTGTAGCCCCGCCGTCAGCGCTATCACCGCAAGTCCGTCCAGGGCACGAAGCCGAGTCGGCGCAAAGCGATCGCGAAGGTCGCCGAGCCCGAGCTATGTCGTCGCTGGCACCTTCGTCAAGCGTACAGATGGTGGGTACCTGGCCTCTGGCGTTGTGACCCCAGGCAAATGTGTGCCCGCAGCGTGAGAGGGCCAGCACATGGTGGGCGCCGCAGCTCACGGAGGCCACCATGACGGGCTTGGCTGCAATCGACACGGCCAACGCAGTCGGTGTCGCGACGTGTGTTACGTGGTCACCGAGACCGAGTTCGCCGTGGGTGCCTTGGCCCCACGCAAATAGCGTGCCTCTAACAAAGCATAGCATCGTTGGCCGAGTGCAGTGCTCATCGAGTACCCAGCGCTGAGCGCGACCGAGAAGCAGCTGCCGGCACCGACGGCGACGAACCGCGTGGGTGGCGACACTTTCTGAGGCAAGCGTCCCATCTACGACACGGTTTCAAGGATGGTACCACGGATCAATGCATCCTACCGAGTGACCCCAGCCGTAAATCGCACCGGTTTCGAGAAGCGCGACAGTGTGGGCGTCCCCGGCTGCGATGGCCACAACTCGGCGCTGCGAGACGGGCACGCGCGTCGGCGCCGATGCCACTTGGAGATGCCCGAGGCCGAGCTGGCCGTGCTTGTTGCCACCCCACGCGTAGACACTCCCGTTGGCACACAACGCGACGGCATGGTCTTGGCCGACCGCCAGCGACGTCACTGATGCCTGAAGCCAAGGCATTTGAATCGTCGCGAGGACGTGGATAACTCGTACCTCGAGAAGTGTTCGGGGAATGGCCCCGGCTTTCGTCGCCCCCAGTTGCCCCTTGTCGTTCCAACCGACGCTGAAGAGTTGTCCTTGCGCCGACAAGAATATCGAGTGGGCTTCGCCGACGCCGATGGCCACGATTGGCTTGCCCGCCTGGCGCTGCATCCGAGGACGTGAGCGCTGCTACAATCCGCGACAGACATACCTCAATGTCGGCCCACCGAGCTGCCCACGAGGGTTTGTAAATGCGCGACACGTCGGTCGTAGCTCCGAAGGCCACAACCACGTTGCGGGCCGCCTACAGCGCCGCCTTGAATCTCAAGCATCGGCAAAGACGCGAGATACAGGTTGCTTGCGCCACCGTGACGCGTTCACTCGCGAGAGCGCACTGCTTTCTTGGGCCACTTGGCTGCGCAGGCGCGCGGAGGTTTCGGCAGCCATGGCGGCAAGCGCATTTCGGTGCAGCTACGTGCATGTGCAAGTCGAGGCATGGACGCGTCGTCGCACCTCATTGCGAACGAGGAAGCCGCGGGCAGCTGCTTGAATCTTGAGGCGCATGGCCAGTGTCGTGATTGCTGCTCTGCGTTGTGCCACCCGTCGGCTCCAACGCTACACGAAAATCGATTCGGGTCGCCGTCAAGGTCGTACTAGTAGTACAATTTACCTGGAGGGTAGTCGCTGCGCGGCGGGCGCGTTGGAAGAACGACGTCGCGTGGAGCATGCGCGTCCACGACTGCAGCTTTTGCGCGGCCGCGAGTGTCACGCGGATGCGCCGCTTGATACTCAGAATGTGCATCACCATGGCCATGTCCTGGCGCACCCGAAAGCCCCGGTAGAGTGCTTGCACCCGGAGAGCGAGCACGAGTAGGAGCAGTGGCTACAATCCGTGTGTCCCATCCACATGTACAAGCACGTGCGCTTACCGGAAGGGAGGACGACCGCGGTCGCTGCGCACTTGGCGATACCGCGGCGACGACAACCGCAGGCTCCATCGACTGAGGTGGCTCCGTCGACGGGCTCGACGGCGTTGGCAGCGCAATGGTTGGTGGTGGCGTGCTGCTAGGTGGCGCCGATGACTTGCCAACGGATGGAAATGCAGCCACTGGTACAGTCGCACTCGGTGATGGAGTAAGACTTAATGGTGACACAACACCGCATTGTGAGGAAGCAACTGCGGGGGGCTCTGCAATACCCAGAGGCGATGTTTCCGACGCTCGGGGCTCGGCCACGGGCAGGGTCATTGTCGGAGGCAGAGGCATCACAGGCGCCGCATCGACGGGGGACTCGGGCAACGGCAGGTGCGTCGCGTCATCGACGATCGACTGCTTGGAGTTGCGGCGTACCGACTTGCGCGGTGTGCGCCGGGCCTTCCACGCCTCGTAGCGCGACTGTATCGGGCGACGGGTGCGGCGCTTGTATGCTCGCCACGTCGTCGCAATCGTCATGACGGCCGCACGCAGCACGCGGAAGCGCACTCGGACGAAGTGGCCGCGCCAGCGTTTCTAGCTCATCGGACTCAGCGTCTTTCAAGAGCCCGAGGCAGCACCTGCAGCAGCGTCGCGTCGTGATCGACGACGGCCTGCAACGTCGCTTGCATCGACTCGATCGCGTCGACCCCAGCCTTGCGCAAAAAGAGGAACCGGTCACCGAGTTGCACTGTCTCGGAGCGCTACGCTGAACGATCAACACCAAAGGTCGTGCAAGTGAATGAGCCAACCGGCAGAGTCGCCATCTCTGCGTGTTGCCAGAGGCGGTCGAGAAGCCCTTCGCAGCGATGCCGCAGGTCCGTCGGTGGCACCTAATCGGGCTTAATGGTTGATCGGCAACCTCATGCGTGTACCTACGCAGGCAAAATCAGCGGAGGCTTCAATAGAACGACGGCACGCACCGCCAAAGGCTTGAGGAAGCGTTCCAGACACGCAAATTGGCTTAAAAACTCGGGAAACGTCGTGCGGTAGCAGTAGCCGGTCTGACGAAGTCGCACGACGTCCAGAATGCCGAGGCGCTCAAGCTGATCGGCCACGACCGCCGCATCAAACGTACCAGGCGTCCGCGACGGCTACGACTCGTTAGCTGTTGCGTGCAATGCAGAAGGGCTACCTGAAGGCACTTGATGAAGTGGGGCTCCGTGCGGCACAGCGAAATACAGAGCCGCTCAATGTCGGCGCTAAATTTGCTGGCCAGCGTCACCTAGCGCCACATGAGAGACACCGACGAGATTCCGGAGAGACCGGCGCCGGCGCAGGCTCAGGGGGCTGCTGAGCGCCGCAGCGATGCACGCCTGGACGATGGGGACGAGGTTCTTGGGCACGTCGCTCTTGTTGTCGCGCACGAACGACCTCGCGTCGTACACGACGTCGCCGCCCGTGTGCCGCACGATGAAGTGGTCGGGTGCGCTGCCGACGCGGGCGAACTTAGCGTGGTCGCCAAAGACGGCCTCCAGTTTCTACGCCTCCGGTAGGAGGGCACGTACATCGAGGGAAAGTAGTACCGTGATGAAGGCAGCCGAGTCGGCGCCGTGGCGCTGCGCGGACGTGTGTTCGAGGATGCTCAAAAGACACTGCGGCTGCTTGTCGAGCAGGTCGAGGACGCTCTACGATGCTACATTTGAATGCGAGCAAGCGCACGGTCGAGCGCACTTGGTTGTCGTGGAAGACGAGCGACGGCGCCGCGATCTTCTCGGCGGCGTAAATGCGCTGCTCGAGCTTGAACGTAAACTACGCAGCAATAGCTGTGTCATCCGATGATGCCACGCGGGCGACGATACTTGGACGAAGAACTGGTGCAGCTTCTCGCTGGCATAGTGTCGGCAGAGCTGGACGAGTCCATGGGACGTTGACGGCGCCAAATCCAGACCGAAGAGGTCGCACACTTCAATCGACTTGGTGCTCGACGTCGCACTGGGCGGGCCAAGATTCTGGTTCAAGCGACGCGCGAGACTCAAGACAAGGTGCTTGTACAAGCCTTGGGCAAGGGCGTGGGCTGCAACGACAAGCGGCGGCTCCTGCGACGGATGCAGACAGAGCTCGCCCGCGAGAGATCCTTTTGGCAGCTCCAAGAGCATCTCGATTGCCGCCACGTCCGCCCTAGCAGCCGCCAAGATAACGTCCGCGTCATGAGTAGCATACACGTACGCGTCGCCATCCAGCGCGAGGTTGCCGAGCAGCAAGATGGCCGCGAGGACACGCAGGATACCTTCGACGCAAGCGATGCCGCAGGCCTCGAGCGCCGCCTACGCAGTGTGAGCGCAACGCATCGCCAAGGGTATTACTCTCGTGTCTTGGAGTCGGCCATGCGGCGCGCCCGTTGGAACGAACGCATACGTCGGGTGTAGCAAGTGCAGCGCTATCTTCTCCGTCGGCGAGAGGTCGTGCACGAGCTGGTGTAAGATATCGAACGTGCCCTCGCTCTCCTACCGAGCGAGCGTTCTCTGTGAGAGCTAAGTGCATTTGGTGGCCATACCGGGCACGCCGTGATGCGCGTGGCGTCAACGAGGTAGCACTCGGTCGCACACCCGACGAGGCAGCCGTCGTCGTCAAAGAGCACTTTGGTCGACTTGCCAAAGCGGGACGCCGTCGCATTTCCGGTCGTCTACCAAGCAGACGTTGAGATCGTACATCTCGCAGCGTCGTCGTACGCGAGCGGAGCCGAACGCGTCGAGGATGACGATGGACGCGGTGAGCGGCAACACGCGTTCTCGCTGCGACGCGACGGTCTCGCCAAGGTGCTAGAAATGGAAATGGACGTCGGCGCCGAGAGAGAAGACAAGACGTACGGCAAGGACGGTGCGCGCGACGGACGACTTGCCGGCGCCGCTGTCGCCCGAGATGAGGATCGTTTGGTGCTTCCGCCCGAACGGCGTGCGCAGCTGCTGTAGCGCAGCGTCTACAAGCGCAAGCAGAGCCCGCGGTGGCTGCGCCATTGGCTTCGCTGGGCGCAGCGCCACAAGCACCGAATGACCCGCGAACGTCACGTGTTCGCCCATTTCGAAGCGCCGCTGTAATGCATCGAGCACTGCGGGCTCGTGAGCGTGCGCCAAGCTCGTGAGGTCCTCGGGGACGTCGGCCTCGGCGCCGTCGAGCGGCCATGTCGCCGTTGTGGATAGCGGGAGAGCCACGGACGGGCGCATGTCAGTACGAACGACGTCGCCGTCCAGCGTCGCCGGCACGTACAGACGGCAACCAACCTCCGGGTTCTTGACCCACACGCGCATGGGCTAAAAAGTGCAACACTGGGCCAAGGAGTTTCGCGCGAAACCAACTGGGCCATTGGGACGCCATCGTCACAGATGATGAAGTTAATAGCATTAGCATTGGGTCCTCTGCTTCTTCTTGGGCTGCGGCCCATCTTGGTCGTCATCGCTCTCTTCGGCCTGCTTGGTCTCTTCTTCGCCGTCGCTTTCGTCCGCCTGCTTTGTCTCCTCCTCGTGTGCTTCCTTCGTCTCTTCTTCATCTCCGACGTCTGAGCGGTCGTCGTCTTCCTTGGGCGCCCACACAGCGCCGGCGGTGGCTTCGTTACGGCGCTCACGCATGATTTGGATTGCAGCGAGGTGCTGGCCGTACTTGTTGCCAAAGATGTTGTGATAGCCCGCGGGCCCCGAGGCGCAGCCGCGGCAGCCCGAGTGACGCTCTTGCACGAGCTGGCCGTCGGCGAGCTGCTGGCGGGGCACGCGGCAAATGCTCACGGTGCCATAGTTGTAGTTTTTCGGGTTGATCGCAAACGTGCTGCAGAGGCGCTCGTAGCCCGGCTTCTTCCACTTGGCGATCAAGTTGGCGTCTGCAAGCTTCATGCGCAGGCAGTAGTCGTACACCTCCTTGGAGATCTTCTCGTACTTGTAGTACATGTCGTAGACGTAGCGGCTGCGCTGCCAGTTGATCTGGTGGATCGGCCAGAGCACTTCGCACTTGCGGAGACCGTCGTGCGGGTCGTTCATGCGCTCACGCAGCTCGCTTTCGAGTGCGTCCATGACCGGCGCGAGGTACTCGTAGCCCGGCGGCGCCCGGCCCTTCTTCGTGAGGCGCGACATCGACCAGCTTCCGTAGTTGTGCCAACCGTACGCTGCGAATGTATATAGTGTTATAATACGATTATAGTGTGATATCAACCGTCGGATCCTTCGTCGTACACTTACCTGTACTAGCTCTCCGTCATGGGGTCGAGTTGATTTATCATCACTCAAAGTGCTACTACGAGGGCTTCAAGTCCCGAAGATATCTATCCATCAATGGGGCATGGCTGCGGTCCACTGTCCACCTACGCAACGCAAATGAACCCTCTCGATGAGACTTGGTATTGGGCTGCTGTAGGGATTATCCACTGTACTGCTGCATGCAGCGTCTGGGTTGTTCAAGTACAGTGCTCGCTCGCCAACTAGGAGCAACCATCCTGCAAGTCGCTAAGGTCACACAAGGCGACTTGTCACTTGCACGATGCATGAGCCTTGGTCTTCCGGTCTCATTGATTCTACTACACACAATGTGTTCGCTCGATGTGTTTCGTGGCGGTGGCCTTTGGAACAGCGCCGTTCACTTCAACTTGACGACTCTAACGACCTACACTAATTCTCTGTGGGCAACAAATACTGCCTGGTCTTGAGTCCGGAGAGAATTCCGGAGCTGGCCAAGTGGCATATCAAAATCAAGTAAAAACGGTTGGTGAAAGGACGGCCGGTGCCAGAGAGGCACTTGGTTTTTGTATGCCTGGCAGGTAACGTACACACTGGTTGGTTGGGAGCCAGCAGCAAGGCTGGGGATTTGGGCTATAAAAATCACTTGTGAATTTACAACCTTTTCAACATGCAAAACTCGGCTGGCCAGAACATCGACCTCTACATCCCGCGCAAGTGCTCGTGGACGAACCGCATCCTCGCGGCCAAGGACCACGCTTCGGTGCAGATCGCCGTCGCCCAGGTCGATGCCAACGGTGTCTACACCGGCCACAACGACGTCTACGCGCTCGCCGGCTACATCCGCAACAAGGGTGAGGGCGACCACGCCTTGACCGAATTGGCCCGCCGCGCCGAGGAGAAGAACTAAACTCCCTCTCTGCTTCGTAACACCATGCAAATGCAAGTCTGCTATTTCGGGTTGTACTTCCTATCTATTCGATGTAATACACACACATCAAGTCCATTCGTCTCGCCTCGCGCCAACATGGCACCGCCAGCACGGGTCTAAACAAAGTACATGTATCGACTATGGGCTGGTCTATGTGGTCGCCGCGGCGTCAACTCGAGAGCCTGACCTAATCCTTCTAGTTGCTGCTGGTGCGTCTCTGCTGTCGTGCAAGAGCCGATGGGTGCAAGTGCGTCACGAAACGAAGGGCGTACTCAAGTAGATCGTAGATTACGACGCAGCCATTATCGGGAACGATGTTGGGTTGTGTAGTTGAACGTTGCCGGGCACAAGTACAGGCTGTCGTCGTGTGGTCTTCCCGAAGGATCGGCGGCTTAGCCCTACAAAGCGGCGAGGATGAGCACCACTACGTAGGCCGTATCGTCGTCGTCATACCCGCTGGCCGCGCTGCTGAATGGCACCCGACACAATCTTCATCGTGTCAATGTATCGCTCGACGCAGAGCGAGAGGCACTGCTGCTGCTTGTTGTCGAGGCGGTCCTGCGGGCGCGTAATGCACTTGTTAAAGCACTTCTCCTGGAGCGCCTTGGTCAGCTCCTGCATGGCCTGCTGCTGGACTTCCATGCGCACCTACGAAGCTTATGAGCAGCTGCCATCGCCATGGCGCTACAGACTTGTGCGATGATCTCATCCTTCTGCTGCGACGTCAGGTTGCGCTCGTCCATGCTTGCTACAATTCGTTGTCTTCCAACCAAACACCCTTTCGAGTCCGGATACATACTGTATTATCCGGAAACGCGGTTAGCGATCTTGCGATGAAGGACCTGGCGGCGCAGGTCGTCGGCGCCGTGCACGAAGAGACTCTCGACGCCGAGCTCTTGGCCGCGGTGGCCGCTGCCGCCCACGCGCGTCCGGACGCCGTCCCTCTCTTCTTCCAAGACGTCGCTCACATGCTTGCGTTTGGCCATCCGTCGTCGAGCAGCAGCTCCGAGTCCGACTCGGACAACGACGCATCATCCTCGGGCTCGGAGCCCGAGACCATCGGCACAGCGAGCTGCATCGACATCGAGTGTGCGCTGAACGAAGCGCAGGTCGTCGTGCTCCTGCAGTATGCGCTGCCGATTTTGACCTCGTCCTGTCTCGCGCCGCACGTGTCGTCCTGGGGCACCTTGGCCCTGCTGTGGTGTGAGCACGGCACGTCGCTGGCTCTGCACGAGCTGCTGAAGCCGTTTCTCCAGAGCGTGTGTCGGTGCCAGGCCTCGGACACGACGCTGCGCGGTCCGCTCGTGCTAGACCGGCTCGTCGCCCAAGTGCTTCGACTCACGTCGCCCGAGCAGACGACCGGCTATGCGGTGCTCCTGAGTCTTCTGCAAAACATCCCCGGGGCCGTCTTTGCAGCAATGAACGCGTGCGTGGCCACTGCAGCAGCCCGCGTCGCCGTCGTTCTCGGCTGCCTCGCGACACGAAGCGTATTTCCCACGGCGACGTTCTACGCAAGCCCGCTCTGGCCCGCAATGTTGCACGCTGTCAAAGCCAGCAAGAGCGTAGAGACACTTGTCCCGTGTCTATGGCTGCTCACCACGCTGCTTCCATCGCTCTCCAAGGCCGAAGAAAACGTAGCCCGCGTGTTGCAAGCGCTGCGCCACGCGGTCGAATTGTGTGCGCCGGCGACCGACGAGAGCGCGACGCCGAATGGCGTCGTCGACCTCTTCTCGACAGCGCAGTGGCCGCTTCTCACTGAAGATGCCATGAACGCGTGCATTTCCCCGACGCCGGGGCGTCCGTGGCGCGTCACTGCCGTCGACGTCGTCTGCACACCCGGAACAAGCCGCCTTCAGTCGCTGCGTCTCACGACCCGGGATCTCGGTACAATGCAGTCGTATATGGGAGTGTGACAGATATGGTAGGGAACGGCGAGGTCACTTGCCACGGGATTGGCGTCGAGGATGAATTCTTGCCGACGCAGACGGTGGCCTTTGCCTCCGACGAGGTCCTCACGGCCATGGATGTTGGCACGGACGCAAGTGGTGCCGTCTGCGGTCTCAGATGTACAACTACGCACCGCACGTACGATTGGCTCGGCCTTGCGTCGACGTCGGCGCGTCGGTGGGCCGGCGGCGACGAGATCATCGGTGTGAGTGCTTTTGTCCATGCCGATGGCCTCTGGCGCCTCCATGCGATCGCGTCTGGCCCAACCCCGCAGGCGCTGACGTACATTTCCGGTATCTTTCAACACGTATACGCGGCCAATCCGTGGGCGTGCGTGGACTTTCTTCGCGACGAGACCACGGCGGCGTCGACGCCACTGCTGCGCGCCCTGTGTCTCCAAGTCCGACTCCACCCGGGTCTGGTATCATCGTCGCCTATCGAAGAGAGAGACGTGGCCATTTGTGCTGCGTGGGTCTCGGACCCGTACCTCACACAGTTCCAGGACGCGGTTGGCACTCGGCAGGTCGAGGCCATGCAGAGGCTGCAGCATAAGCTACTCGACAGCGACTACACTGCCAAGGAGGCGACGACACAGCTCCATTTGCAGGTCGAGAAGGACACGGTGGCGGCTCTTCACGACCGTCTTCACGCCCAGTCGGCGACGATCCAGGCGTACGAAGAGAAGCATATCAAGATGCACCAAGCGCTCCAGGTAGCACGTCTGCGATACGCTCTGGCTCAGCGGCGTCGTAGCTTCGGCTGGCGCAGTATGCCCTCGAGTGCAAACTCCTCAAAGAAAACAACTTGACGCTGCGCCACGAAGTGCAGACGCTCGAAGCCGCGCTCTCGCGAACCGAAGCCGCTCTTCAGCACGCGACGGCCCAAAGCATCGCGCTGCTGGGCGAGAACGAGCATCAATCGGCACAGCTTGCAAGCTCAAGCGCAACTGCAGACAAGTGCGCGAGTCTGGAGCGCGTACGTTCGATGAGCCGCAACGTATTGACATGGAGCTGTAGCAAATCGCCGAGTGGCGCGAGTACCACGCGACGGTGCTCGAAAGCGAACGTGACGCGCGCGCGGCGGAGCGCGAAGAGCTGATTGCGATGTACGAGGAGAAGCTCTTCAAGGCGCGGGATCGCATTGAAGCGCCGCCGAAGCCAAGTAGTGGCTTGGAAAACCCGGCTGAGGACCGCAGCCGCATCCTCGAGCTCGAAAAACTGCTCAAGCAAAAGGTTTCTTCTGTCCACGCGCCCGCATCTCGCTGCAAAGAGGTGGTCTCTGCTAGGAGCAAGGGGCGCAAGCGCTCCGGGCGATGCTCGAGCGCCAGCAAAGCGTGTCCGAAGAGATGCTCAAGGCCGTCAACCGCAAGTATGACAACGTCAAAGCCATCAACCTTGCGCTACAGGTAGACCCGATTGACAGTTCTACAGTGGGCACATGCGAGATCGACAGAGGCGCGCGCTTGGCCGATCGTCCGGCCTTGGGAGCTAATGGCGATGGATGTATGTCGTATCGATAGTAGAGTAGTAGTATTGATGATTCATTGTCCGTGCATCGAAGCCTGCGACTTACTGCGACCGGATGTTGTACTTGGCTTGCCACGCGTTGGCCGCGGCTTC